GCAAGTCTCGACTAACTTATGTTGGCAAACATAACCAGCTCGCTTTAATCTGGGTGCCAGTTCACTCAGGAGTGCCTGGCAATGAGATATCTGACCATTTGGCCACAGTTAGCTTAGACCAGGCATTCCTCGATCCTTAACCAGTTATAGCACGCCTCACTTCGACCATAGAAGCCACCATCAGAAACTGGGTGAAAACTTCGCTCAGCAATGACTGAGAGCCATCGAGGGGATGCAAGTGGGAAAAACTCATGTTGCCTTCAATATCAGAAGGTCTATTTAGTTTTTTGCTCTCACTGAGAAGACGGGACTGCAGACAACTTGTTGGACTGCTGACTGGTCACTTGCCGTGGAACACTTTTTATGCTTCTTGCTTTCTTGTTTATCATCGATTTTTCTAGATTCGGTCTTTTCTCTTTTGTCAGTTTCTCTGCTCTTAAAAAATATAACTCCACAGGGCGAGATAGTGCAAGTGCGTAGTCCCATTATTTGAATAAATAGAACGCAAGAAAATATTTTATTATTTGTTTTTGTTATTTTATGGTCTTACAACAATTATATTGAGCTTGAGGACGTTTCTTTTATAAATATTTAGCTATCATTAGTTATCTATATAGTGAAATAGCTATAACGTCTACCATCTATAAATTATTGTTAATTTTTCCACAATAGTTTTCATTAAAAAAAAAAACGGTCATAAGCTCAATAAAATTAATGGATATATTTGTTGTAAGGCCATTAAATAACAAAAAAAAAACTTAAGGAGGAGACACCTAAAAAAAAAGTTAAACATTCTAAAAATAGAATTATTAACGAAAACCAAGAAAACTAACAATCATATGATCAAGTTTAAAATAGCACTGCAAAAGCTGCGCCTGATTGTAGTTGGCTCACATGAAAAAAGTGGAAAAAGCAACAACAGTTTATCAGGCGAACTTGGCACAGTGCGTAGGCAACCGGCTAAGTCAGCTGGGGTCGTCGGTTCGAATCCCGCTGAAGAAGTCTGATGAGGAGATGTGGTGATCTCCGAAATAGTTATCACTTCTACCATTTATAAATTATTGTTAAGTTTTCCACAATAGTTTTCATTAAAAAAAAAAACGGCCTCGAGCTCAATAAGATTGTTGAAAATTTTTTATTTTTATTTTTGCCACTCCGAATTTGGTTTTGGAACTCACCCAAGATGCAAATTTTCATCGTAAGATCTAATCTTCAAATTTTTTGATGAGCTTTGTGAATATGTTAGAGAGAGCAGCAGGGGGTCCGCCGAAACCAGTAGAACAGGGTCTACGAGAAAAGCAAGTTTGGGAACCTCTGATCTAGTTAAATGAAGAACAAAAAAAATACCTATTTTATGTACATTTATGTACAAATTGTTATCTTCTTTGCATGTTAAGTACTAATTTACAAAGTCCATGCTTAAATTTAAAATTTATTTTCAGATACAATTTTTTCATTGCCCTTTTCAATGCCCATTTTTAATATTTCATATTCGTATGTTTTTCTTATTAATTTTATTTGTAATTTCTACATACTTGGTACTTGCCAATTCGAAGTGTTTTGGTTTTTTGTTTTTTTTTTTGGTTTTTAATTTAAGGTTATGTTTCATTATTACTAACTCTAGGCTCAACTGCTAAAATGTTATAAAAATAATTTAAAAACCCACACATTCACACCGTATTTGTAATCGTCTAACCGACACGCATTTCATTACACTTTTAACTACATAGTACTATTACTAAGGTTATTTTTTTTTACATACATTTACAAGTTTATCGTTAGGATTCACATTTCTATAGCATTTCGGATGTCATGAACGTGCGTACATAGTTTATATACACATATCCATACATAGTATTCCTGGTTTTAAGTGTACCGTTTTTCTCTGCTATACAGTCACATGCTGAACGCCAGTTGCTACACAATCATATGTCTATTATTTGAGTGCGCATGTAAATACTTTTTGCAACAAATATGTGCCGTTGCTTTCAAAGTGCCGTTTTGTTTTGAAAGTGCCATAAATAATTTCAAAAAAAAAAATGGCTCATAAGTACATATGTACATTAGAGTGGTTCAAAAAAATAAAGTCGGAGTTTTAATGCCGGCTCACCCTAGGATTGATCCATATCGAAAGAAATTATACCCCTATTTTTTTATTTTGAAATCAAAAAATATTTAGGGAGTGCTCAAAGCGTTCAAAGTTTTATATGGAGAAAACAAAATTTTTGGTAGAAATGGTATAAAACTCTTGAAAATCAATATTTTTCGACCGGAAAACTATGGTTCTCTTCAGGAGACTAATATCCAATTGTTTATTTAACCATTCTTTATGCTTAAAGATTTTTTATTGGCCCCCCATTGCATTTTCTAAGGGCTTTGGAGGACCTATAAAATATAGTTACCATGAAAAAATTGTTAAAGAAACAATTGAGTATTATTACTGGGAATCTCCTGAAGATAAGTAAAGTTTTCCGATCGAAAAATATTGATTTTCAAGAATTCTACACTATTTCTACGAAAAGATGTTTTTTCTCCATATAAAATACATGGAAAACTTTGAGCGCTTTGAGCACTACCTAAATTATTTTTTATTTCAAAATAAAAAAATATGGGTATATTTTTTTCGGTATATAACAATCCTAGGGGGTGGCGGCATTAAAAAGCCGACCTTATTTTTTTTACAAACATTTTTGGACCACTTTAATGTACATATCCACTCTACCAGTTTGTCCGTTAAGGAAGTGAAACATAAAAAAAAAATTTACTAATAGAACGAACTAAAATTTAACTAAAATGTATTGTCAAACAAGAAAAATAACAAAGAACTTGGAATGAAATCTAAGTTTTTGTTTGTTTTAATTTTATGCACAGCCGATAGTTGCCAAGTTTCTGTTACTGTGGTACACTATTTCTAAATAGCTGGCCTTTGTTGTAGTGTTGCAGTTGTATTATTTATATTTTTAATTGTTGTATGCATGCGATTTTGCTCTTAGTTTAGTGTGCATTTTTTAAGTTCTTAAGCGCAAATGCAGCACACAGTACAGCTGTTTAAATTTTGCTATGCTTGTAATTATGTATTTGTATTTTTTAACTACATTCATTTTATGTTTTTCCATGCCATGGTTGAGTACACGTACATATAGTATATGTATGTATGTATGTATTTTAAAGCATATTTACATGTTTTTTAAGTTTTTTTAATTTTATTTTTGAACATTTGGAACACATTTTCTTATATAAAAACCCAGACAATAAAATAAAAAATTTAACTAAAGTAATAAATTTGCTATAAAATGCCAACGTTCTTACAATACTCATGTACCGTTTATGTGCATTTAGCACTTTCTACCTGCCAAACACTAAATCTTGGTCTTTGTATGTAATTTTAAACTATTAAACTATCAATGATATAAAGTCAGCGTCAAAAATATGAATAACGTTTCTTTATTTATATTTTCCATACCAAATTTTTCTTATTTTTTTTTGGTGAAGCACCCTAATGTACATACAGTCAGCGTCAAAAATTTGAATACTCTGACGTTTTTACGATCAATCAATATTTTTTACGATTTATCAATATTTTCAATACCATATTTTTAATTTTTTTTTATAAAAATTAGTTCATTCGACATAAAAAACCAGCAGAATCAATTTTTTCAATTTCATATACATATGTAGAAATCGGGAAAATTCAAGAAATACTAAGAAAATGTCAAACAAATTCTCAACGTTTCAATTCGATTTCTTAGAAAAATTTTGGATGTGCTGTTTTGTAGCCCATTAAATTTTAGTATAGCAAGTCTCAAGTCACTAAAAATAAGCGTTGATTTTTGAGACTTTTTTGTGAATTGTAAGAAAATGCGAAACACCACTGACAAAAAACAAATTCTCAAAAATCAACGGACATTTTTAGAGATTTGAAACTTACAACTTATTTTGCTAAAATTTAATGGGCTACAAAAGAAATCGAATTGAAAAGTTTGATGGCTTTTTTTTAGTGTTTCTTGAATTTTTCTGAGTTCTATATGAAATTGAAAAAATTCATTGTGCTGGTTTTTCTGGTACGGTATGGGGAAAACAATCCTCAAAACGTCAGGGTATTCATATTTTTGACGCTGACTGTATGCACTAGGGTATATTACAAAAAAAAGTTGCGGGTTTTCCACCGTAATCAAAAAATTTTAAAATACCTCTAAAAATCTCACACCGCAAAAGTATAGGCATAGAGAAATTTGCACATTGTATGCAAAGTTTTTTATTTTAATTTGTTATCGCAAATTTTTTATAAAAATAAAGTTCATACTACCGCAGAAAACATATAAAAAAAATTTCGAAACTTCATATAATTTATGAAAAAAAAATTTTCAACCATACTTTCCATGGAAGAAAATGGGTGACACCATCAGCAAAACAAAAATAAAATTATCGCAAATCAAGGGAATTTATAACTTCCAACAAAACCGAAAAATATAATGTAAATTTATGAAAATTTTCAGAATTTTGCACCAAGTTTAGATATTCTATTTTTATGTTTTTTGTTGTAATATGAATTCTATTTCTATATAAAAAAATTTGCGAACATAAATTAAAATAAAAAAAATGCATACATTGTGAAAAGTTCACTGTGCCTAGACTTTTGTAGTGACTGTATAAGAATATTAAATTTTTCTGTGAAGACCAAGAAAGAAGATTTATACTTACAAATATGTGTACATTTTTGAGGCAACACCCTAATCTTACAAATCATAAACGAAATGAAAGGATAGTAAGAACATAAATATGTATGCCAGTATGTAAAAAAATATTAAAATAAAATTAAAATTACCTAGAAATTTAATAATTGAAAAAATTCACTTAAACGGAGCACCAACTAGACTTAAAATTAAATCGTTGTCCTGGCTATATGACGCAGCGCATCCTTGTTAGCCTATTAATTTATCTAAACTTTTTATACTTTCAAATACTTATAGTAACTTGTGAGCCCACATGCAAAATTACGCTTCGCTTAGCAGGCTTTATTGGCAACTTTTATTATACACATAAGTACATACTAGTCATCTCCCCTCATCATTCCACTCATTGCAACATTTCATACTTGAATGCCCAACGGCTTAAATGCCGCTGTTGACTTCTGCTAGTGCCACTACTGCCGCTGCTACAACTGCCGCTGCCGCTGCCGCCGCCGCCGCCTCTGCTGGCAAATAGTCGCCGTTATAGCTGCGCACGTCGACGATCTCAAATGATACTCTCATCATTGTTGCGCATTAGGCGTATAGTTGTTGTTGTATTGCCGCTACTACCACTAGCGCCACTACTACCACTTGCGCCAGCACTCCCACCGCTACCACTACGATTTCGACCACCAGCGCCGACGCCACCACCACCACCACCACTACTGCCGCTTGTCAAAGTTGTCACAACAATGCTCTCATCATCATATAAATCAATATCCTCATCTTCATCATCATCATATTCCGAATTTGATGTGGAGAGTAGTGCGGTGGTCACTTGGTTGCGCATACCGCCACCACCACCACCGCCGATTAGACCACTACTGCCACCAACAACACCACTGCTGCTACCAACCATGCGTCGAATCTGTGCACGTGGCGTTAATTTGGGTAGGAGTGGTTCACGTCCAGTGCCATTGCTACTGCCGCTTGTAGTACGTTCGCGCGTTGTCAAAACGGCGTTGTCCCAATCATCGCCGGTTGGCTCACACAAGGACTTGGAATGACCGTGCTGATAGGTCTCCTCGGGGATAATGTCTCTGTGGTTGGGTTTGAGTAGATGAAATAATGTGTCGATTGAATTTTGGGGCAACGCGAATATTGAGTGCAATTGAAAGAAAGATTTTAATAGAATTTTTTACATATTCTATTTTTGAGTTCGAATTATTTATGTACATATGTATGTATGTAAGTGAGTGTAGTTGGTATAAAATATAAGGACAAGTTTTTCATTTTAAAGAAAATATCGTATGTCGTAGAATGGAAATTGTGATCAGCAAAAGCACCCCATGCATGCGGAAAAAAATTTTAAGCTTCTTGAGAGTATCTGTTTAATAAAGTCCAGCTTAGATCTCAAAATAAGCAAAGCGACGATAGCACAAGTGAAAATAAAGCGAAATTCTTGAAATATAATGGCAATATGTACAATAATGATTAAAAATAAGTTTATACAAATATTTTTCAAATCTATAAATTTATTCAAACAAATCAAAAAATCAGCAAAAAAAGCGATGTTCGTAAGCATAAGTGAAAGCAGTTTAAAATACAATGTACGTATACACATATATAGATACAAACATGATTTTGATATTTTATAGCATCATATTAAAAGATAATATAGCTCGGCCAAACACTAACATATGTGTAAGCGCCAATCTATTATTGTATAATTTGTGTAGGCATGTTAGGGTGCTCCGTGTAATATAAACCTTTAAATTTTGCATGGCACAGCTCTTTACTCAGTTCTACGTACAAAATAAAGACTTCCACGAAAATTTCAAAATTTTTAAATTAATAATTTAAAAATTTTAACATATTAAAATATTAAAATTGCGCAAATTTTATATATTTTGGTATAAAAAAATAAAAAAAAAAATGCGATTTGAGGTCATTTATAAGTCAGTGGCATTAAGAACTTAAGAAAATTAAAAAAAAAACATGCTGCAATTATTTAGAAAAAAACTTAAACAACTGAGAGTTTTCATATAGCATTTGTTTGAATAGTTTTCAATAAGAGTTAATTTATCAGATTTAAATTTTTGTTAAACTTGGTAGCGACCCCTAAAAATTGTTTTAGAATTAGGAAATTTTTTGTGGAAGTCATTATTTTGTGCATAAAACAAAACAACGCGGTGTCCCACACAAAATTTAGATTTTCATATTTTTTAAGGACCACCCTAATGTATATATGCAAAAACATTTAAACGCATGAGAAGAACAAATTAGCATAAAAGCCTAAAATGAAGTTTAAAAGTAGTTTTCAAAAGCAATGGGTTTACAGTTACACTAATTAAATTGTATAAATTCACAAATAAATAAATATTCACAATCATAATTATTCGATTAATAAATTTATTTTAACTTACGTAAATATATATATATTTTTTTAATACATTGTTATAAATGAAATTATTAATAAATAATTTTAATTATAATTTAAGTTTATAAAATATTTTCGCAGTTGGGAAAATAAATGTGTTAATGCAGGTATGTCAGTTTGTAAAATAATGTAACTATGTATTTTTGTATACAAGTATGTTTTTACATATGTATGTTTTTATACAAAAAAAGGTAAATTTTCGTTTATTTTATTATGGAATTAGTGAAGAGCTATATCTTTTTCATTATCGGGAAATCGGGCACGGGAACCGGTTTTGAACTAAAGTAACCCCCTTTTTCTACTAATTAACTGAACCACTAACCGAACCTAAACCGAACCACTTTTTATTAAGGTATAAATAATGTTAGTTTAGAGCAATTTTTAACAGACAAATTTCCAAAACTTGTTTCTTCTTTTTTTTTGTTATCAGACTATTTTTTGATGTTTTATATAAATTTTTTTTCGATTGTTACTGAATAAAAATAACATATGTATAAATACATAGTTTTTTTTTTTAAACCCCGGTTCAAAGACTTAATAAAAAAGTTCAAAAACGGTTCGAATCGCTGAACCAAAAAACATATCCGCGATTTCCGAGATTTCACTTGAGGACATTTTATAAATTCTTGTTAGCCGTGTAGCCGCAGTGGCCGAATAGAAACTAGAGCGTGTGTACGGACCGTGAGCTGCAAGATACGTCGCGACGTAGGTATAGATCATTTGTATCGAAGATTTGCGTAGCTTTGTTTACGAAGGGCCTTACTTTTCGAGAACTTTATAGATTTTTCAGAATTGTTTGAATTTGTTTCCGAACCTCTCGTGTTTTGGTTTTTAGATTTTTTTTGTATTTCATCGGCTTCTTTCGGGTTTTGTTGGTTAGGGTCTTACAGAAATCTTTTTTAATATTTCGCTTTTTTTTTGGATTTATCTGCTTTACCTTAACCTTTAAGAGTTTTTGGACCTTTCGGGATTTTTTTTCAACTTTTTTTTTCTGAGCTTCGTGTTTTGTTAGTTTTTTTTTCGGATCTTTCTAGACTTTCCAATGCTTTTTCTGGATTTTCCGGATTTTTCGGGATATTTTGAAATAAGTAGGTTTTAGGTCCAATAATGGTCCTAAATTCTAAATTCGCTTTTTTTGAATGGACAATTATCAACTTTTCCTTATTAAATTCCATTTTAAGACTAAAACTGATGCTTTTCAAACAGTTATCGTTGTACTATAAATATCTACTAGCTGATCCTAATTTTTTTTTCGCGGCATGTGTTTGTTAATCGAATACTTAGTTGCTACATCTACGGTTAATACTTTTCATTTAAAAGATTTCGTCTTTTGGACTAACTGGAATGTAACTACCTTACTAAATCATTAATATATAGTTAAAAAAAAAACGACAGTTTAAAACTAGAACCCAGACGTTTCACACGAATCTTCGATATGTAAAAACACGAGACGTGTACGTTTAATTTTTTGTTGTTTAGCTTGGAAAAGACCATAGGCAGGTTTTACTTTATAGAAAGGTTTTGAGAAATTCATGCGGGATGCATTTAGATCACGACTGATCTAAACCTTCCCGTCAATCATAAGCTATTTTCGTTCATCCCATGGTCTTAAAAGCTAAAGGTATATAGAAGTACAGTAAAATTATATAGCGCTTCACACAAACAACTTAAGAAATCTTAAAAATATAACAGTAGTAAATATTATGAAAATTATAGATTAGTAATTTAGTATTTCCTAAAGCTTCCCTTCGGCAGCAGTATTTACCACTAAATATAAAATATGTATGTATGTAATTCGATGAATTAAAATACTTGCGCTTATAACTTACTTCTCTTAACTTAAACTGGAGGAACTTTAAATTTTCTTAGCCTGTTCTATGTGTAACTACATAGTATGTAAGTGTGTACATGTACATTAGGGTGGTCCAAAATAAGAATAGTCGTAATTTTAATGCTCTCACCCTCTAGGGGTTTTGGCGCACCCATAAAATATGGTTACTAAGAAAAAATGGTTACAAAAAATAGTTCGGTATTATTATTGGGAATCTGTTGAAGAGAAACAGGATCTTCTTCGAAAAATATTGATTTTCAGGAATTCCATACCATTTCCACGAGAAGTTCTTTTTTTCCCATACGAAATACATGGAAAAGTTTTTGCGCGCTTTGAGCGACCTCTAAATGTTTTTTGATTTTAAAATAAAAAAAATAAGGGTATAATTTTTTTCGATATAGAACAATCCTAATGGGTGAGAGCATAAAAAGGCCGACTTTAATTTTTTTTTTAGATGCATTTTTGGACCACCCTAATGCACGTACTTATGTATGTACGTTAGGGTGCATCACCAGAAAAATTTGTGGGTTTTTCAACGGATTTATAAAAATTTCTTATAATTTAAGACTTCTGCCAAAATATCTCGAAAAAATATTAAGATTTACCTGAGCTAGACCGATTTGAAAATACCTCAAAAAATCTCATTATTTTGACGCCGTTGATAAAAGTTTTAAAACATTTTACGCAGACCTTTTGGGATTAAATTCTTCTACCAGCTGACGAGGTTTTTTAGAAAAAAATATTTTTAAAAACAAATGTTATTTATTAAAAATCTAAATTTTTGGAGGTATTTTTTCAAATACGACCAGCTCACATAAATCTAATTCATATTATTTTCCCGAAATATTTTGGCGGCATTCTTAAGATATAATAAATTTTATATTTCCGATGGAAAAAACAGCGCCGATTTTATTTTTATTTTTTTGTATGGACATGCACCCTAGCGTACATGTATGTATGTATTTATATGCATGTGTTTTATGTATATACTAGTTCCAATAAATATGTATGTATGTATGTATAGTGCATGTGTGTTGTTGTTTCCATGTTTTGTTACTTTTATGTTGTAGTTTTACGCTGCAAATCCTTCCGTAACTTTTATCCTATTGTACCTACATACATACATAAGTATGTATGTATGCAAGCATGTCCAGTTGCAATCAAGTATTTTAGTGCAGTATTTCTAGCTACATATTGTAGATTTGTATACGTAGCTGTTTTTACAAATTTGCAAAGCTATATTAATATAGAATGGCCCTATCTCACATCGCCGCCGAAATGCAAAAAAACCGTAACTAACTAATTTTTTTTATTGCATAAAACGGTGTGGGGACTTATAATTCGATGAAATGCATCATAATTAATCAAAAATTGAATTATGGATATTTAGTTAGTTTCGGATTTTTGTATTTCCGCTACGATATGAGATAGGGCCGTTCTTTCAAACTATTTGAGTATTCAGTTCTCAAAATGTTTATATTATTTTTCTCTTAAAAGCTTTTCCTATATGTATGTATTGCCAAAAATATATGCACTTTTTTCGAATGTGAGCTGTTAGACACGTTGGTATTGAAGATTTATTCTGTAAAAAAATGTGTTTTATAAATATCAGGACGGTTAGTCACAATTGGGATGCATGTCAGAATATTTTATATAATTTGCGTACTTTTCAATCAACTTGTTTATTAGTAGTCAGAAGTTTTAGAGGTTATATTAGTTTATTGTTGTATTTTTAATTGCATAAATTTTTTCAATTGTCCTACAAAAATTTTTTTTTTTACAACAAAACTAGAGCAATCACAACTAGTTAAGTACAATTCTTATTAGGG